AAGATCATCACCAAAGGCCCTGCGATCTCATCCCTCGCTTCCCATAGAATCCTTGGATAAATCCCATCAGGCCCGGGGGACTTATCTATCTTCAACTTCCTCAGAATTCCTAGCACATCTTCTTTACTAACATCAACCTCCTCGAGCCTACCTGCCTGTTTCACAACGTCCTCCTCTACAACTAGGTCCGTCTCAGTTGTGAATACTGAAGAAAAGTATTCATTAAGGACCTCTCCTATCTCTGTAGGCTCTGTGCACAAATACCCTTTACAATCCTTGATCGGCCCTACCCTTTCTCTGGTCATTCTCTTGTTCTGCACGTACGTGTAAAAAGCCTTGGAGTTTTCCTTGAACCTATCTGCCAAGGTTTTCTCATGCCCCCTCATAGCTCTCCTAAGCCCTTTCTTCTTCTCCTTCCTGGCTAACTTGTATCCCTCTAGAGCCTTTCCTGTTCCTCTTTTCCTAAACCTTACATAAGCCTCCTTCTTCCTCTTAACCAGTCGTTTGACCTCTCTCGAGAACCATGGCTCCCTCACTCGACCACATCTTCTCTGCCTGCTAACGACAAACATATCGAGCACATGCAGTATGCATTCCTTAAACAATCTCCACATTTCTGTGGTGTTCTTCCTTGGCAGCATCTGTTCCCAATTTATGTTACCCAGTTCTTGCCTAACTGAATTGTAATTACCCTTCCCCCAATTATAAACTTTACCCTGCCGTATGTACCTATCCTTATCCATGACAATCATGAAAGAAACAGAGTTATGATCACTACTGCCAAAATGCACTCCTACCAACAGGTCTAACACTTGGCCCGGTTCGTTACCAAGCACCAAATCCAAAGTGGCCTCTCCTCGTGTTGGTCTATCTACATACTGTGTCAGGAATCCTTCCTGAACGCACTGGACAAAATCTGCTCCATCTAAACTATTACAACTAAAATGTTTCCAATCAATATTTGGAAAGTTGAAGTCACCCATGACTACAACCCTGTGTCTTCTGCACCTTTCCAGTATCTGCCTCCCAATCCGCTCCTCTACTTCTCTGCAACTATTAGGGGGTCTGTAAAAAACCCCCAACAAAGTGACTGCTCCTTTCTTGTTCCTGACCTCAACCCAAACTGACTCTGTAGACATATCATTCTCGAACTGCCTTTCATTAGCTGCTATACTCACCCTGACTAACAATGCCACTCCCCCCTTTTTTCTTTTTCCACCCTCCCTATTTCTTTTAAAGCATCTAAATCCCGGAACTTCCAACATCCATTCCTCTCCCCGAGTTACCCAAGTTTCTGTAATGGCCACAACATCGTAGTTCCAAGTACCGACCCATGCTCTAAGTTCATCCGCTTTATTTCTGATACTTCTTGCATTGAAGTATACATACCTCAAACCATCTTGGTGTCCGCAATTACGCTCCATCGACCGCGTTTCTTTATAAACCACCTCACTCCCTGTTGTGTCTGTTGGAAGGCCGAATACCTCATCCTCTGAATTATAAATCCGGTTCCCCACCTCCTGCCAAACTAGTTTAAACCACCCCGTACAGCTCTAGCAAACCTCCCTCCCAGGATATTTGTGCCCTTCCGGTTCAGGTGCAACCCGTCCTTACTGTACAGGTCCCACCTTCCCCAGAATGTGCTCCAATTATCCACATAATGGAAGTCCTCCCTCCTACACCAGCCCTGTAGCCACGTGTTTAGCTGCACACTCTCCCTATTTCTTACTTCCTTATCACGTGGCACTGGTAGTAATCCAGAGATAACTACCCTGTTTGTCCTGGACTTCAGCTTCCAACCTGGGTAGTTTACCTGGATGGTTTAAACTAGTTTGGCAGGGGGTGGGGAACTGGATTTATAATTCAGAGGATGAGGTATTCGGCCTTCCAACAGACACAACAGGGAGTGAGGTGGTTTATAAAGAAACGCGGTCGATGGAGCGTAATTGCGGACACCAAGATGGTTTGACATATGTATACTTCAATGCAAGAAGTATCAGAAATAAAGCGAATGAACTTAGCGCATGGGTTGGTACTTGGAACTACGATGTTGTGGCCATTACAGAAACTTGGGTAATTCAGGGAGAGGAATGGATGTTGGAAGTTCCGGGATTTAGATGCTTTAAAAGAAATAGGGAGGGTGGAAAAAGAAAAAAGGGGGGAGTGGCATTGTTAGTCAGGGTGAGTATAGCAGCTAATGAAAGGCAGTTCGAGAATGATATGTCTACAGAGTCAGTTTGGGTTGAGGTCAGGAACAAGAAAGGAGCAGTCACTTTGTTGGGGGTTTTTTACAGACCCCCTAATAGTTGCAGAGAAGTAGAGGAGCGGATTGGGAGGCAGATACTGGAAAGGTGCAGAAGACACAGGGTTGTAGTCATGGGTGACTTCAACTTTCCAAATATTGATTGGAAACATTTTAGTTGTAATAGTTTAGATGGAGCAGATTTTGTCCAGTGCGTTCAGGAAGGATTCCTGACACAGTATGTAGATAGACCAACACGAGGAGAGGCCACTTTGGATTTGGTGCTTGGTAACGAACCGGGCCAAGTGTTAGACCTGTTGGTAGGAGAGCATTTTGGCAGTAGTGATCATAACTCTGTTTCTTTCACAATAATCATGGATAAGGATAGGTACATATGCAGGGTAAAGTTTATAATTGGGGGAAGGGTAATTACAATTCAGTTAGGCAAGAACTGGGTAACATAAATTGGGAACAGACGCTGTCAAGGAAGAACACCACAGAAATGTGGAGATTGTTTAAGAAATGCATACTGCATGTGCTCGATATATTTGTCGTTAGCAGGCAGAGAAGATGCGGTCGAGTGAGGGAGCCATGGTTCTCGAGAGAGGTCGAATGACTGGTTAAGAGGAAGAAGGAGGCTTATGTAAGGTTTAGAAAAAGAGGAACGGAAAAGGCTCTAGAGGGATACAAGTTAGCCAGGAAGGAGAAGAAGAAAGGGCTTAGGAGAGCTATGAGGGGGCATGAGAAAACCTTGGCAGATAGGTTCAAGGAAAACTCCAAGGCTTTTTACACGTACGTGCAGAACAAGAGAATGACCAGAGAAAGGGTAGGGCCGATCAAGGATTGTAAAGGGTATTTGTGCACAGAGCCTACAGAGATAGGAGAGGTCCTTAATGAATACTTTTCTTCAGTATTCACAACTGAGACGGACCTAGTTGTAGAGGAGGACGTTGTGAAACAGGCAGGTAGGCTAGAGGAGGTTGATGTTAGTAAAGAAGATGTGCTAGGAATTCTGAGGAAGTTGAAGATAGATAAGTCCCCCGGGCCTGATGGGATTTATCCAAGGATTCTATGGGAAGCAAGGGATGAGATCGCAGGGCCTTTGGCGATGATCTTTTCGTCCTCACTGTCCACGGGTGTAGTGCCGGAAAATTGGAAAGAGGCAAATGTCATTCCCTTGTTCAAACAAGGGAACAGGGATAACCCCAGAAATTCCAGACCAATTAGTCTTACGTCAGTGGTTGGCAAATTATTGGAAAGGGCTCTGAGAGACAGGATTTATGATCACTTGGAAAGGCACAGTTTGATTCGTGACAGTCAGCATAGATTTGTGAGGGGTAGATCATGCCTCACAAACCTTATTGAATTCTTTGAAGAGGTGACCAAACACGTGGATGAAGGTGGAGCAGTGGATGTGGTATACATGGATTTAAGTAAGGCGTTTGATAAGGTTCCCCATGGTAGGCTCATGCAGAAGGTAAGGAGGCATGGGATAGGGGGAAATGTGGCAGATTGGATTCAGAATTGGCTGACCCTTAGAAGACAAAGGGTGGTAGTGGACGGAAAATATTCAACATGGTGCTCAGTTACGAGTGGTGTACCACAAGGATCTGTTTTAAATGGCAATATATTAGTTTGATATCTAAGTGGAAATGTTAATCTGTTATCTTTGATTTTCTTTTCCGTACTAGATTAAAGGGATAGTTTGTATTTGCAATTTATTATCTATAACCCTTTTTCTGGGACTTTTAGATACTTAGCGTCTACCAACTTTAGAATTAATAACTGATTCATTGTCCTTGGGGTTAAATACCTTGCACCACCCTCTCAAAACATTTTGGGTCTTCCTCAGATCCTACCAATCAAACCACCCAGGTTTACTACCAACCAGACTTGAGCACAGGTCATAATCCTTTCATATTTAAAGCTCCAATCCCAAAATACAATAATCTTAAAGCAAAAGATACAATCCTCAAACGTAATCCTATATATCTCTCAATTGTAACAATGTCATGAGATGCCCTACGCAGGTGAGGAGATAGTGTAGTAGTAATGTCACTGGCCTAGTACTTCTGGACTCAGGCTAACGCTGTGGAGGCACAGATTCAAATTACATCTCAACAGCTGATAGAGTTTAAATTCAATAAAAATCTGGAATTGAAATATAGTTTCATGGTCATCATTATGGAGACCATTACTGGTTATTGTAAAAACTAATCTGGTTCTCTAACCCCTTTTAGGGAAGGAAATCTGCCTTTCCCTGGTCTAGCCTACATGTGACTCCAGACCCACTGCGATGTGATCAGTTGTTAACTGCTTGCTGAGATAGCATAAACCCCTCAGTTCAAGGGCAACTAGGGATGGGCAACAAATGCTGACCAAGCAGTGACACCCACATCCCAAATGGGAACAAAATTGAATCTGGGAAAATGTAACTTAGGGATGAATACAATGTACACACTGCAGTTTAAAACCCAGTAGTGAAAGAGTCAAAGCATGATAGATAAACTGATTTCTGTTTAATAACTGGTTACATTGATTTTGATATCTAGAAGAATAGCTTTCCACATGAATATGGTTTGTAAGTTTAGGCAAAACTATTTTTTCCTCAGATATGAATTTTATGCTTAGAGGGAATTAGACTTCTATTAAGTCTCAAATACCCAATATGATTTAAATACAGTTGGTGACATGTATTTGTGTGTTGTTCAGTCGTCACTGTCCTGTTCTGTCTGTTATACTTGTCATGTATTTACAGAAAGCTGACCTGGCTGTAGCAGGCTTAACCATCACAGCAGAACGTGAGAAGGTCATCGATTTCTCCAAGCCATTTATGACTTTAGGAATTAGTATCTTGTATCGAGTTCAGATGGTAAGAGATCCGTTTCCTTACAAGTCAGTATGTAGTAGAAAAAAAAACTCATCTGAATGTGCCAGTTTTCTTATCTTTTTTTCTCTTTCACATGCTGTGACAGACTTAGCTCAATTGTAATAACTTTGTCGCTGAGTCAGTAACACCTTTCAAATGACATCAGAAACTGAGCCCTATCTATTTTAACAAATGGAAGAAAACTCCATAGCGTTATTAAAAGTAAAGAGCCTGATTGACATGCTTTCCTCAAATAATTGCTCTTGAAGAGAATATTTGGCTGTTAATGTCATTGCTGTTTTAGAATCTTGCTGTGTGGAAATGCTATCGCCACTTTCATAGATTATAACAGTGACTAGCACCATAATTACTATGATGCAATTTGAGGATGACCTAAAATTCTAAGGAACAAATGAGGACTAGTATTCTTTCTCTTCCTTATTCAGAGTACAATTCCAGTGGTAACCAGTCTGAAGAAAGAGAGAGAGGAATTCCTGAATACATACAAAAGACATTTTCATGTGAAATAATAGAGAGTCAAAGCAAGGATGAGGATGATTTGAGACCAAAAATGGAGGCGATCTATATGTCTGAGGAGCTGTGATATTTAGAGCATCATCTTCTTCAGCAACTTTACTTCTAATGTGTTTATGACCTTTTTTGTTGGGTTCCCTCACCTGCTAATCTATTCTCTTATACTCTCTTTATCCTTTTCAGTTCCTTTCTCATTTCTGCTCTAAAAGGATATTTCCACATCACAGTAAAAGATGGTGCTGGAGAAATTGCAGCGTTTGAAAGAAATGTTGTTTAAAAGATTGGTGACTGTCAAAGTAGGAAGGTTACCCATTTTTGGATGGGTTCCTGAGGAATGTAAGGACAAGGATGGGAATTATGGAGGATCCAGGTGTCATTTATCAATCCTCCTTCCTTATGGGATAGTGACAGTGAACAGGAAGATTGCAAATAATACAGATTATGACCTAAAGTTTTGTTTTAAATCCCTTACTCTTTAAACTTAGATTGAAACCAGGCTGCGCTGTCACTGAAAGTTACAAAGAAAAACTCTTGGAACTGTTTTTATTGATAAGCCTAGGCTGGGAAAAATAATAGTGTTTGTTTGTGTACTTCCAACAGGGATCTTTATTGACGTTTCCCCAAAGGCTGTCATTCTGATATATTGAATGTTTGGCTGCAATGTCTCAGCAGGGTGTTCTGACTTCACAGTTTGATTGACACCTTAGACAGTTTTTTAAAGGATTAGCTGTCTTTGTAGTTACTGAAATAGATGTTTGTTTTATGATAGATTTGCCACTTAAGACTTAAAACCTTTGAATGAGATTATGAAAGGAAGTATTTTTTAACTATCAGGTGTTCATGAGTAAGCACTATCTTAGATTTTAAGGGAAGGTGATGGCCTAGTGGCATTATCGCCAATGATCTAGAGACCAGGGTTTGAATCCTGCTAAAGTAGACGGTGGAATTTAAATTCAACCTGGAATTAAGAATCTATTAACGATCATTGTCGATTGTCAGAGAAACCCATCTGGCTTATGAACGTCTTTCAGGCAATCTGAATCCTCAGTGGTTTGGCCTACATGTGACTTCAGACCCGCAGCAATGTGGTTGACTTTCAGTTACCCTCGGAAATGGCCTAGCAAGCTATTCAGTTGTACCAATCGCTACAAAGTCGCAACAAAGGAATGAAAACGGATGAATCATCTGGCATCGACCTAGGCACCGGAAAAGACAACAGAAACAGTATACAGACAAATGAATGGAACACCCGTGGGACCACCGATATCAGGACCAATAGCGGAAGCCGTAATGCAAAGACTGGAATGGACAGCCCTTCCCACCAGCCAACCAAAACTATGGACCCGCAGTCTGGATGATACCTTTGTCATTATGAAACACGCTAAACTGGAGGAAACCCATCTACTCAAACAACATCCTCACTGGCATAAAATTCACCTCGGAAGAGGAGAACAACAACAGACTTCCCTTCCTGGACCTAATAGGCGATTGTAAGGCTGACAAGTGAGCTCCATTCCAGCATACACAGGAAGGCCAGCCATACAGATCAGGTACTCAACTACAACAGTAATCATCCGAATACCCACAAATGGAGCTGCATCAAAATACTGTTCAAGTGAGCCACAACACACTGCAGCACCCCGGAGCTGAGCAAAGCCGAGGAAGAACACATACATGGCATCTTTAGAAACAACGGTTACCGAAAAGCATAGTCCGCCAATACCTACACAACAGACCACAACAGGAAGACACAACATGTCCGACACTAGTCATGCTACCATACATTAAGGACATATCTGAAATGACCACCAGATTACTCCGCCCCATAGGAATCATAGTAGCCCACAAACCGACAGCTATTGATGAGAATAAAGGATCCGATAACCACAACTAACAGAACCAACATTATTTACAAGAAACCATGCAAAGACTGCCAAAAACATTACCTAGGGCAAACCGGAAGGAAACTAGCCATCAGGATTCATAAACCCCAACTAGCTACCAAGAGACATGACCAACTATCACTCATTTCAATACACATGGACAAAGAGGGACACCAATTCGACTGGGACAATGTAGCCATCCTAGGACAAGCCAACCAAAGACACACATGAGAATTCCTGGAGGCCTGGCACTCAAACTGGAATTCCATTAACAAACATGTAGAGCTGGACCCCATATACCAACCGCTAAGAAACAAATCCGGAAATAATGCCACCCACCCCAACAAACTAAGACCCACAAATATCAAGCAGGACAGAACACCGACGCTTCACCAGAGGCGCACTGATGACATTATCTAGGATGGTGAAGAAACGTCTGTGAACAATCTTACCAGCTCGGTGAGCAAGTCAACAACTGCATCAACAACCCAAGCTACAAATCTTCGCAAAAACCTTGAGAAACAGCCCTGTCGACCGTGCAAAGTCATCCTTTATAATATCTGGGGCTAGTGCTAAAATTGGGAGAGCTGTCTCACAAGCTAGTCAAGCAACAGCCTGACATAGTCATATTCACAGAATCATACCTTACAGACAATGTCCCAGACACCACCATCACCATCCCTGGATATGTCCTGTCCCACCGGCAGGACAGACCCAGCAGAGGTGGTAGCACAGTGGTATACAGTCGGGAGGGAATTGCTCTTGGAGTCCTCAACATTCACCCCGGACCCCATGAAGTCTCATGCCTTCAGGTAAATGTGGGCAAGGAAACTTCCTGCTGATTACCACATACCGTCTTCTCTCAACTGATGAAACAGTATTCCTTGATGTTGAACAACACTTAGAGGAGGCACTGAGGATGGCAAGGGCACACAATGTACCCTGGGTGGGGGATTTCAATGTCCACCACCAAGAGTGGCTCAGCAGCAGTACTACTATGTGGCCCATGCCAGAACAAAAAACATAGGCAAGACTAGGAAAGAGGACCTGTTCAGAGATTATCAGGAGCTGGGAACCAAATTAAAGAACAGGTCCTACAAGGGTTATAATCTCCGGATTACTGACCGAGCCACGTGCTAATTGGCATAGGGACATGAGAATAAGGGAAGTAAACACATGGCTAAAAGAGTGGTGTGGGAAAGAGGAGTTCCTTTTCATGAGACACTGGCACCAGTATTGGAACAGGAGGGATCTGTACCGTTGGGACGGTCTCCACCTGAGTCGAGCTGGGACCAATGTTCTAGCAAAAGGGTAAATAGGCTGGTCAACAGGACTTTAAACTAGAAAGTGGGGGAGGGGAAGGGAATGGTGAAACTTGCCCTGGTGGGAAACAAAGCAGCAGGTTAACATCTGAAGTGGTGGATTCAACTAAGTGGAAAAATATGAAAGAAATGACAGGGAAGGAAAATTCAGGAGAGGTTATTAAAGTCTCCAGCACAGACAAAAATAGAACAGAGTGTTTGGAAAAGGCTAGCGATCAAACACTAGAAAAATGAATGAAACTGAGAAGAGGGAGGATTAATACAGGACTGAAGGTATTGTATCTAAATGCATGCAGTATAACAAATAAGGTAAATGAGCTTGTGGCGCAGATCGAAATTGGCAGGTATAACACGGAGATGTGGCTGCAAGGGGATCAGAATTGGGAACTGAATATCCAAGGATATACATCCTAACAAAAAGATAGGCAGGTGGGCCGAAGGGGTGCCGTTGCCTTATTAGTGAGAAATGAAATTAAATCAATCTGAAGAAACAAAGTAGGGTCAGATGGTGTAGAATCTGTGTCGGTAAAATTGATGAACCGCAACGGTGAAAAAACCATAGCTGGGGTTGTGTACAGGCCTCCAAACAATAGTCAGGAGCTGGGGCACAAGACACACCAGGAGATAGAAAAGGTGTGTAAGAAAGACAAAGTCACAGTGATCATGGGGGATTTCAATATGCAGGTGGACTGGGAAAATCATGTTGGTAGTGATTGCAAGAAAAGGAGTTTGTGGAATGTCTACGAGATGGCTTTTTGGAGCAGCTCATGGTGGAGCCCACAAGGGAGCAGGCAATACTGGATTTAGTGTTGTGCAATGAGGCAGACTTGATAAGGGAGCTTAAGGTAAAGGAACCCTTAGGAGACAGTGATCATAAGATAGAATTTACTCTGCAATTTGAGAGAAGGAAGATAGAATCAGAGGTAACGGTATTACAGCTGAATAAAGGTGCCTACAGAGGTATGAGGGAGGAGCTGGGCAGAATTGACTGGGGGAGGAGCCTAGCAGGAAAGACAGTGGAACAGCAATGACAGGAGTTTCTGGGAATAATTCAGGAGAAACAGCAAAAATTCATCCCTAGGAAAAAGAAGCATGGTACAGGGAGGATGAGGCAACCATGGCTGACTAAAGAAGTCAGGGATAGCATAAAAGCAAAAGAGAAAGCATATAATGTGGCAAAGGGCAGTGGGAAACCAGAGGATTGGGAATCTTACAAAGACCAACAGAGGGTAACAAAAAAAAAACAAGGAGGGAGAAGATTAAA